GGAGAACAACTATTCGAAAGCGCTTGAGTTTTGGGTCTTATTTTAAGTGTATGATATTGAAGACACTTCCATTTTATATTATTGAATATACTTATATCATATGCTACTAAAACACTTCTATTGTTTATTGTTTCATACATTTTGTTGTATGTTAATAAATTCGGTTCCATTGTACATTAGCCAAGATGCTTTTATTGTATATTTGGTGACGTATCTGTTGCATATTACTGGCGATACGCCTGTTGTATAGCATTGAACACTCGTATGGTTCAGAATATTCAAACATATATAAACTTGTTATCATTCATTACATCAAACAGGTACGTAATTCTTTGGAATGTCTTTATTATGATTTTTTATTATTAATTGTACTTAGGATAAGTGTATTTGCCTGTGTTGGTTATCAGTACTGTTGCTAGATATGTCCTGACCCAACAAATTACGTGCTCGAGCTATGGAAAGTCTGACATTCTAATTACCGTTTGCCTACAAGGAAAATAACAACCGGTATTACCAAGGATAACAGTTGTAGTAGATTGTAGACCCTTTTCACTTATCACATTACCCAAATCTTTCTGGACCTTCCCGCTTTTATGTTCCAAGACGTGCTCCATTGGCGGGAAAATTCATAGATTTAGTCACATGAAAAGATTATTCAAGGTAGACAACTTTATAGCTTCTTATGGCATTGCTGTTAAATAAATAAACTAGTCAGCCACATGAATTAATCTGGCATGGAGACAGAAAGAACTGCTTATTGAACACGTGACTCTCTCCAGTATTTAAATACCGCTGTTTAAAATGCATACATTCAGTGGAAGAACAGAAAGTATTCCAGCGAGGCTTGAACTTAAGACGAGTAAAGATTTCAAGTAACATGAAGTTATTAAGTATTCCACTTTTATTGTTTGTACTAAACTCTCTGTTAAGTTTTACTGACTCGCATGGGTTCAGAAGATACTACGGTTTTCGGCCCCAATACTATCGACAGTTTTACAGAAGACCATATTTTTACGGTTACGTGCCGTTTATTTATTATTGCCCACCAGGTTTTAATAATCAAAAATCAACCAGAAACATTGTGGAACTTCTTCAAGATCGTCGCTTTTCTAATCTGACATCTCTGATCGATCAAGCTGGTCTCAAGGATTCCTTGTCGGGTGAAGGTAAGTTATTCTTGAGCTTTTATTGGTTGATTTTTAAACGCAGACAATGAGAAGACGAGTAATTATTATAAATAATAATCATATATTATACATGGGGAAAAAATCAGCCATTAAAAGACGAGAAACTATTCATATACGCTAAATTGAACAAGAGTCTTGTGTATATCGGTCATTGGTACGTATATGACGTTTTGAACTATATTCCGAGATATTTATTTTAACCTGAAGTTTGTATACTTAGAGAGTTGTCTGATTAAACCTGGTGTATTGTACGTTGTTTGAGCTTCTTTTACAATACTTTTGTTTCACGTATATCGTTATCCAGTTGTAACAAATTAGGAGATCACAAAGAACATGGAAATGGCCTCAGACAATTTCTTTTCATAATACTCTGATACGTTTAGCTAACGTTCGCGAACTCCGTTACTTGGTTATTTTACGAAGTGACAGTGTTTTAATTGTGACTGCCGGGCTATATTTCTTCTTTGATTAGCCATTTTAAAGCTCTATAAAAGTGTAATAAAACGCAAATATCATTATATTCTGTTTGCTATGTTATATGAAAAAAATAATAGAAATGTAATGTTTTTTAACTGCTTTCCAAAGTTTTCACTAATTGATTATTTTATTTTTAGGACCCTTCACAATCTTTGCCCCCACAAATATGGCTTTTGAACGTCTTTCACCAGATATTTTAGAGAAGATAACGTCGGACAACGATGTTTTGAAACGCGTTTTAGAATACCACGTGGTTAGCGGGAAAAAGTTGTCACGCGACTTCCGAAATGGACAAGAATTGAAGACTCTGCAGTCTAACGAGCCACCCCTTATGATAGGCTTACGTAATAGAAGGGTAAACTTACTTTAGGATGTATGTTTAATATATGTAAGATAATGTCATATATGGAAGTAAATATGACATAATTTTCAGTACCGTAGATATAGCTGATGTGATATCGAGGTCATATCTTCGGTTTCACTCTCCCCCTTTCACACCCAAGTTTGACCTCGGTAGAATATTGGCTCTGGTTACAGTGATGAGGTAGAAAAAAAACATTTGTAGTTAACTTGTTTTATAACAATTTATAGACCTATTGGTTTATCATATCAGGTTATTTTAGGCTAGTGTAAAAAGTTTAAAAATATATAACCGCAAATTCGTAAATGAACAATAATGGAGACGTTTTTATACTGTGTTATCGAAGAAACTTTCATTGTATATTATTAAAGACACTTCCGATATGTATATATTACTATCAATGTACATTAAGGACAAGTCTAAGAAGTCCGATATTAAATACACTTTATTTCTTTATTGCCTTATAGTAACAAAATGAGAAAGTTGGAATTCATCATTAATCATGCTAACCAGGATTTCAGAACTACAATTGTTATTATATCTTACAATAAATCATAGGCAATTCTAGCACATAGTAAAATCTAATTGAGAATTATCGATTTGCTTATTATGAATATTAATCTGGAGAAATGTCCATGACTAAACGTATTTTTCTATATTTATTCGTATAGTCTCCCACTGTGAACAAAGTACGAATTGTTGAAAGAAACCTCCAAGGAAAGAATGGAGTGATCCATACCATAAATCGCGTGCTTATCCCTCCATCTATAGCCAATGGAAAAGAAAGCCCCGAAGAACCTTAGTTCTATTTTTATTTCAATGTTTCTGACGGGTTTATGGTGTATGTAACATGGAATACAAATAGTTGAATTAAATATATTTTCTAGTGTGTCATACAGCGTATTCTTACAATAACCGGATATATCAATTAATCACAACACATAGATACATATATACAGTGACAAGACGAGGTGTAATAAACTTTGTGTTTATAATAAATTGAATGATTTGCTGTTTTCACTTTCACAAATAGACAGGTCCCACAAATATGCGCCGATATACACACGTTTAATTAGATAAACATGTTTAATTACAAACGAAACACATCAGCAAAAGTACATGGGTTTGACTGTTTGAAACAGAAATATATAAAACCCAAAATACTTTTTGTTACAAAGATCTACTGGCGTTATAAAATGTCGTTGACTTGTTTGTTTGGTTTTAAGCGCAAAACTACACAGAGATATCTATTAGCTGCTCACTCTGGTTTAGAAAGCCAAATTCTAGTGTTATAAGGCCTCAGACTTACCGCTTAATTGTAATGAATAGAGACATATAAACCAACAGAAAAATAGATATTAAATAAATAGAAGGCAGGGAAGACAAGCATAAGATACGTAAACAGAAACTACGTAGACATATACTTACAGACAGACAAACAGAAAGATGGACTTCTGTGTAGCTTTTTGTTTTCCAGAAATTATTGTCAAGTTTTAATATTTTCAAGGAAGACAAAGCAGGCAATAGGAACAACTACCAAAATCGGTTCACTGTTCAATAAGATAAGAACCGTACCGATGACGTCTTCTTTGTTAATATAATTAATATTAATAAGGGCCGTAGAGAATTAATGATGGGGTATTTCCACACAAGTATCAGATAGATTGATCCGCTAATAATGATAAGATCAATTAAGAAATTTACGGATCAATCTGTATTTGAAAAGTTGACTGAGTTTTTCTTGAGTAGGAAATAATGAGACTGGAGAAGTCTTAAATAAAATTTACAATTTTTATTATAATAAAAAAAAGAAAATACAACATGTATAATTATGCAGACCGTCACTTCTACTAGATTGTCTGCAGCACTTTCTCACTATCAATATAAATCTTTGTAGAGCTAAATACATTGATCTTCAAGTTGAGCTGTGCTTGCTTATTTCCAGGTAGAAAACTGAACTAAGAAAATGTGCTTTAATTCAACAGGTAATGTTGTTTTCTTTATCTAGTCGACAGTGTCGCCTCATGATTATTGTGTCTTACAGCATTCACTGGCTGCGACATACTGATAATATTCATTCAGCCAGAAAATGATATTACAGTTGGTGACCCTCAATAAGGATAAATATACAACGTTAAAATCAATACACAATTAAAATAATGACTCTACATGTTTCGACGTGTCATACGTCATCTTCAGGAGTGAAGTTGAAAGAGATAAATCTAACATTTTATATTTTCATAAATATCACGTGACCTATCATTAATTTTGTATTTGTGCATAAATATCAGAACAGGTCTCGCCACATTTCTAGATAGATATTCGCCGGACCTTCATCTCTATTTAATAATATACAAGTATTTTTAAATATCATTATTTCCAGCGATTCTCGAGTATTAGTTGCTGCAATACCTCCAGGTGGAGCTAATACAATTGCTTTTTACCATAATATGCTATGTTGAGTTTTACTTAAATGTTCTGCTATAGCTTAATTTTTTTTTTCATTTTTTATACATCTCTTATGTTCGGCTATACGATATTTTAAATTAAGTTTTTTTTTTGGCCAATATAGATACTTCCACATGCACATTCAATTTTATAAATTCCAAATTTATCCATTAATATATATATATATATCCCAATAAGGATGTTCTGTGTTAATGCAATATTTTGTTGGGCACCAGAGATATTATTTACTGCATAAAACAAAGGCATAAAATAACTAAAACAAGGCAACTTTAACAATTTTCTGGACCACGTGTTTATGTACAACTGCATATAGACTAATTAAATGGAAAACTTCTACGTAACTTAAAGCAATTAGAAAACTTATGATTTTCCCGTATATAATATTTTCCTATCTCTTATGTTTCAAGCTTGCATTGAAGACAACACTTAGATTAACTTTAAAACCAATAACCTTTAAACTTGTGTCATGGTTAACAAACACGATAACTTTCCTTTGTTCCTAAGAACATGGACGACACAACCATATAAAAAGGAACTACACTTACCAACTTAAAATAAACCTTTAACTAGGATTTAAAAATAGAAGATAATACATTATGATAATAAACGAAAAGCCATTTACTACATTTTAAAATTGAATACAATAAAACAAAACTTGAAATAATGTTACCATTAAACTGAAACACTACACGAAATGTGTTCATAACCACATACTAAAAGATTCAAAACAAAAATCCTCGAATCATACTTTGATTTAAAAATATTTCTTTAAAATAATAAAGCTATAATTGATCAAATCACACACGTATAAAAACGTAATAAATAAAAAATGTCATTAACAAGGTTTACATAATAAAATAAACGAAAAATCTTTGACCTTCATTAATATAACACAGAAGTAACCCTAAACATAAAATATAACATGATATATCTTTTTAACATAAAAGAAACAATGCACAAGTACATATTCACATAAAGTCAACTAAAAGAAAAAGAAATACCAAATATCAGTGATACTCTGTTCACTTTAAGAGTGGACAGTCTAATAAACATTAATCACAAAAAATGAAGAAAAACCTTTAACAATGATCATATAATTTCACTTTAACTATGACTACCTGTCCTCTTTAGAAAAGGGTAGTCTAACATGAAGACCTTTCAACATATATAATTCAACATGCATACAAAATGTAATTAAACAGCATCACTTTGTTCATTGAAATAAAAAATTTGTAATTAAACACAAAGCTACACAATGGGCTATCTGTGCACTGCCCACTAGGGGTATCGAAACCGGTTTCTAGCGTTGTAAGTCCGCAGACATACCGCTGTACCACTGAAGGGCCAGTGAAATAGAAATACAAAAAAGTAATCATTTCTAACATGTGATGGCACTTTGAATACATAAAATGAATATAATAAAATAGAAGAAATCTACAAAAACTTTTAAAACCTCACTCTTTCATACATATTAACATGAGTGCAAGAGCAAAGGTCCCTGAGAAAAAGAAATACCCCCCACCCCCACAGACACCACGTATATCAAAAATGATTAGGACTTTGTTTTCCGCCTACATTCACGAGTGTGGAAGACAGAGGCCTCTCTAAGTTAACATACCTGCATACATATACATACAAAGTGAATCACAAGAAATTAACAAAAATGATGCAAAATTTATATTCACTCCTGAATTCATCTGAGGCTTCAATACCACTCATCTCAACCCCAACAGCAGAGCTTTTAGGGCCATTGGGGTTTCATGATTGATCACCACTGAGGCCTGCAATTCCTCTTGAGCCTTGGACAAGGCCCTCTTAGTGATGACAAGTCCAGTCTGCAGGTATCACACCCTTTACTTGTACCAAAATAGAGGGGTTGCCCTCCACCATAGCCAGCCTTGCTCTCTGTTATAAAGGCAGGACCCACGCCTCGGTACATTTGGCAGCCATCTCCTGGCAGTTTCTCTTAAGTAATTGGATCTTCTCTAATGCTGGATGTTTTGCTATCAATTTGAGTAGTCTGGTAGGTAGTTTCATTCTTGATGCTCTCTGGAGTTGTTCCCGTGGTCATTTTGCTTATGACTAGAGTGTAGGTTCTTCTTGGGTGGCAAGTGATCGTTGTCCTCACTCTGAATATGGAGACTTCATGTTGATGGTGAAATCCTTTGGTGGTAGAGGTGGTCCCTGCGCTAGCTGATATGTCTATATGGTTGTACGTACAGTCTCCCTTCAACCCAGAGTTGTTTCAGAGACCACCCCATCTCTACTTCCCTGGCACTTGGATGCCTCTTTTGACGAACCTAGTGTCAGAAATCTCTTTTTGGGCTTCAGAATGTAGTGGTCTCCTCAGAGATGCAAACAGATCTGGTACTATTTCATTGTGGTGCCAAAACATCCTCCAATGGAACATATCAATGGGCTGTATCATTCTTCAGGTTTCATCTCTTCCTCTGGCGGTAACAGTGGCGATGATGAAAGCTAGTGAATGGCACTGTGGAGTCGTGGCAAGACAGAAAAACTTCGGAAATATAGGAACTCTAAGGCAGGAGAATTACCAATGGCTAGTTAAAGAAGATAGAAACTACCCATGGCTAACACTTGACCTTAAATATCTAAAATTGAGATTCAAATGCAAAGATGGACCAAATTCTAATTGAGAAAGGTTTAGCCAAGTGCATAGGTCACTGGGGATTGTATTGTATGGTTAAAACTACAGACTACAACATTTGGTACTGGTCAAGTGACAGAGGTTAGTGAGGTAAGAGTCAACTCGAATGCGTAGAGACCTACTACAGTCTCAACCCCTATTCTTTCCTATTAGAATCAAGCACAGTCAACTGACAACCATATGGCAGGAGAGTGATGAAACCAACAGAGGGCAGCACAGCTACAACATAACTGATCAAGTGGAAATCCAGGTAAATCTTCAGGTTCTTTGGACACTGGGCACAAGTACATGCTAAGCCTGTAGTGTAAAGAACATTTGACTATTACTCTTTGTCAATGCTTTCATCGTCTTTTCAAATTGTGTAACATTTATGATGTGAATTACAAGATTTCACCATGTGGATGGTACATTACACTTACAGCCAGCATTTTCATGCTTCAAATCTGTATTTTGTAATGGAACAAAATTAATGAAGGATTTGGGAAAACTGTTTGGTTATTGCAAAAATATTCAAATTTTCATGTTTGAAAGTATTCCTATCAAAACTAAATAAAACTGATTACACCACGTGTATACATTTGTAATGATATCTAAGCCATTCTCTCTGGATTTATTAATTCATTAATATTTCAACTCGCTCAAATTGAAATATTTTTAGTGCTATAC